AAATTCAGACAATGTGATTTTCTGGATTTTTTCCCCCATTTTGTCTCTCATAGTTGAGGTATACCTATGACGAAAATTACAGGCCTCTCTCATCTTTTTAAGTGGGAGAACCTGCACAATTGGTGGCTGACTAAATACTTTTTTGCCCCACTGTATGCACAGTCCAAACACTTTCTGGAAGTTTGAGGTATTATATTAGTCCTAAAACAGCAGTCAGGCATGCATGCGTGCATTCATTTGGATTTATATGCTGTTTCAGTCATCAACAACACTTGAGTGCCTTACAATCCTTAATTCACTAAATCAGCTAGTTTGAATAATGGATATTGTGTTTTAAACAATATCTATTATTCAAACTACCTGATTACTTCAGGTACCAAGGGACAGCCAAATAATCAATTATGTGATTATTATGCTAGCACATCCTGGTAAAGACTGGCTGAGCTTTCTTTTAAATAAAGCAATGGAACATAAAGGCAAGCTTAACTGTAACCAGTAGTGATGGACATGATTGGAAACAGTACAGTGAAACCTTCATTTAAAGATCCCACTTAGCAGATATCAGACGCAATACACAAACATTCTGTCTAGTTTACCACACTCCCCCCCTCCCATAATTGCAGCTAGGTCGTGTTTGCATCCAAAGTAGCCCAAAAGAAGCCTTAAAAATCTAAAATAACCAATTTCAGATGATTTACATTATTTGTGTAATTATGTCATTAAGGAGATTATGCAAATGAAGTTATTTGTGTCAATTTACATCCGTTTTACAAATGAAGTAATTCTGTACTTCACAGACATTTGGGAAGAATCGATACATCCTCCCCTGAATGGTTTGTTCAGCCAAGGTTTCACTGTACAGGTAGTCCTCGCTTACCGAATGCCTTGCTTAGTGACATTCAAAATATGACAGTTGGAGAAAAAAGCTTTGCAACCAATCCTCACATTTACAACCTTTGCAGTGTCCCACAGTCACGTGATTGCCATTTGTGAGCTACACAACTCACTTTCAACAAGCAAAATTAATAGAGAACATGGAAGTGAAATTGCAAATCGCAATCACATGATGTCTCACTTTATGACTGTGGTGATTCGATTAATGATAGAAGTAACATCATAAGCCCAGTGCAGTCATGTGATTTTTTGCTTAGCAACTGTGGTGCCTAGTGACAGAGTTACCAGTCCTAATTGTGGTCGATAAGGGAGGACTACCTGTATTGTACAGAAGGTGCAGAGGTGTTCAAGAAACTATTTGGAGAATGCTGGCATTTAGATCTGATACTGAAAAACCCAGTATATTTTATTGACTTAATTTATTTTAAAGACTTACATGCTTGCCATTTTATATACAATAACTCTGGGTGGCTCACAGAATAACAATAAAACATCAAAACAAACAATGATATTAACAATAAAAACAACACTCCCCCATACATCCACTGGGCTCTAGTCCCATCCTAGACCAATGCCTGGGGAAGAACCAGCTCTTCACAGCCCTCCAGAAGGCCAAGATGGTAGGGGCTTGCTGGATCTTAGGGGGAAGATCAAGGCTTTAAAGGTAACAACCAGCATCTTGAATTGCACCTGTAAAGAAACTGGAAACCAGTGCAGCTCGCACAGTAGCAGCATAATACAGGCAAACCACTTGGCGCACACAATTGTGCTCACCGCTGCATTCTGGACCAGTTGTAGTTTCCAGATGGTCTTCAAGGGCAGCCTCAGTTAATAGATCAAGACCAGGATAATGGAAATAAGCTCTCTGAACACACTCTTCCTCTTCAATATGAGTTCTTCTTGTCAGCTCTCATTACACATAACATTTGCATAACACCATTACAGAACAGGGTATATTAATATTATTAATGGGTAATTAATGGTAACTAGGATTGGCTGCTATCCAAGATTTGAAACCAAGTTTACCAAAAACCATTTACAGCTAGTCCTCCAGTTATGCCAGTAATTGGGACTGGAATTTCCATCACTAAGCGATGGAGTCATAAAGCGCAATGTTATGTGACTGCATCGCTTAGAGACAGCAATCCTGACAGTCCCTGTTGCTGTTGTTAACCAAATCCCACCAGTCATTAGGTGAGGACCCACCCTGATCCAAACCATTCCCGGCTTGGTCTCTCCCAGCCCCAAGCCTTAGTAAGGTAAGGGACTGTGCCTTCTCTCGAACCCCCCTACCTGCCTATCTCCCCCCCAACTCTGCCTTTTTGTCCATCTTGCACAGTGGTACTCCTCAGCAGCGGCAGCAGTACTGGGGCTGAAGTAGAGGCCCAGGCCCTTCAGCAGTCTCAGCTGGGGAGATAGGCGGGGGGAGTTAAAGGACTGCGTTTGTAAGTACAGGCGAGCTGCCAAGCATCTGAATTTTGATCATGTGACCTAACTTCTGGGACTGGGCGTAAGTACCATTCGCTCAGTGCTGCCGTAACTTCAAACAGTCACTGAACAAATGGTCATTAGGTGAGGACTACCTGTAGTGTAAAGAACAGTAAATATCACTGCTTATGCAACTCTTCCCCATATGAAGACCAGAGGGGGTAGAATGTTTGAAAACTAGCTTTAGCCTGTGTCAGCCTTTCAAGGTAGGCCAAGTCAGGAAACAGATACCACAAGAACTACAGTTACTCTTCTTTACTATCATAGGATGTAATGACAGAATCTTGGAAAGCTTGAGTGTTTCTCTCTCCCTCTTAAAGCAAAGAGCGTCAAAGCGGAGTAAACTTGAGTTTCTTCCTCACCCTCTCCTATATTTCCAGGCTAAGCTGATGTTTTTGTAATGGCTGTTGCATACCTTCTTCATAGCTATCTCCATATTCCTGTTCAAACCTGAAAGATTTACAATCTGGAAACCTACTCTCAAACTTACATTAAAGGAAAGGGAACATTTCATTTGCATTGGCCTGACGTATCTAAAATACTTCCATGATTGAAGATTGAAAAAAGGTTCTCAGTTAAGCATGCCTAAGAATTGTTGTTTCTGTTTGGTTCTTTAAAGCAACTAACATCAAGTTGTACCGCTACAGGAACTCCGAAATGCATGCACTTCTATAATTTGATAGAGTTTGAGCTTAACCTATTCAATCATAATTCTCTAAAAGTTTGATTGTTTAATATCGTTTACCTCAACACAAATGAACATATAAATCTTTGTAGCCTAGTCTCTAAATCAGAGGGTAAAGCAGGTTAGATTTCCAATATACACAACTACCACAAACTGTAATTTGTGTGTAGCGACCTTGTCTCTTATTCTGGAACAAAAGGTGTTGTAAGCCATAGAATACATCATTCACAGTCATTCCCTCAGCAACATGGGAGATATTTACCTTCCTGGCTTCAAACACCCAGTGGCTTTTGCCATCATCATCAACCTGGTTCCACCATCTGAGGCCAACCATCAACCTCCCTGTGACATTCTAGAGAAAGTTAAATACAGCATGAAAGTGCTTCCCGCAACAGCAAACATAAATTTTGCTAAATAAGCTCCCCCAAATGCCTCCCCCATTTTATGCACAAAAACACTAATGAAACAAGAATCTCATTGTGCTGTTCAACAATATAATCACAGGCAGCTATCAGAGTCACAGTTCTAGATGAGTTACCAATTGCTCAGCTTGCACTACTATGCCCCTGGGCCACATTCTCAGCAATCCTATTAAGTTTACTGGAAACAGTTGCTTGGCAGGCAAGTTATAATTTCACTAGTGACATGAGACATGTTGTTACAAATCCCTGTTAAACCACTAACATGAATAAAAGGTTATTTGCCTTCTGGTTATTTCAAATGCCACAAAAATAGTTCAGCATATGTCTTCCAGCTCAAATGACTTTGGAATGTTTGTAATAAGTACCTGCTTTAAAGAGATGAAACTATTACATGACAGAAAAGTCTTTCAAACATCCAAATATATTCATCACATATTATTGGGTAGAAAGTACAAAACTACATATTTTACATTGTGAATACTCCTATCTCACTTTGATAAGTGATATCTAAAATCAATTATGGCAGTGATAGCATTACCAAGCAGGAGAGCTGGCCTCTACTATGTAAAAGGGAAAGAGGCTGTTTTGTTCAATATTTGTAATAATGATGAATCATTAGCAAGCCAAAGTAGAAATCTAACACTGCTTTTTAATTGGAACATTAACTCCACCCTCTTAAGCCCTTGTTCACTTAACACTTACCTGTGCTGTGCTAATTTAATTTTGAATTTAAGATACAAATGTGCACTTCTTTTTACAACAAAAAGTTTTTGCTTTCTAAGTAAAGTGTATTCTTTGTTATGTTTTTGGGCTCCATTCTGAGTTCCATGAATGGAAAAGAACCCTGCACAGTTTTCTAGAGGATCCCCATCCTTCCAGGTCAGAAGCTTTGTAGTTTCTTATGCTTCTATAGAGGCTGGGGGAATAAATGAAAATTGCTCTCTCCTCTGCTGGCAAAAGTATCCCATGAGCAGAACTTGGCCAAAGTAATGTTCCAATCAGAAAGTTAATTAAAACCCACAAAAAGCAGTTATAAGATATTACACAGAACAAGACCTTCTGTGTGTATATACAAGGATGGTAGAATATCTGTGAATAAAATACAGCATAAAAATAACCACCTTGTTACATTCAGATGCAAATGTCTGCTTAAGTTAAGAATATATTTGTATATGCACAGCAAAAACCCAAATCGAGACTGCCCTCTGGCCTGTACATGAGGATCTTAAAAGTCATAAACGTCTATATATGTTAAGTTGGAAATCACACTCTACACATGTTCTGATATAACTTTAGTAAACAACCCAAAGCACCTATAAGAGCCCCCCCTCCCACCAGCCCTTTATTTGTTCTCTGCACTTGATGAACAGAGAGAAGTAATCTAAATGAAATCAAAATTAGTATTCTATTTTTGATTAGCAGCAGTGCTCCCTGCACCCCCAATTTCTCTGATAACAAGCATATTCAAGTACCAAATGATTTACCTTCACTGCCCAAAAGTCACACGATAGAAGTAAGATGATCGTCACCATACAGGCAATATAGCTGTTGCTTAACAATTCGCAAAGTAAGTAGACAATTATTGCACTGACCCGGAAGAACAAGTGGAAAAAGGAAGCTATAGGATGTCTGTAAAGGCACACCAAGAAAATAATTTGGTTATCAATTTCAATATTTAATCTGGCCAAATCCAAGGTTTAGAATTTCTGCCATAATTCCGAATTGTGGTATTTCACAAAGGCAGCAATATTCTTATTATCAGAACTATATTATTATTATTATTATTATAAATGTGAACAATATAAATCAAACAGATAAATTCTTTAACCTGAAACACCATACTACACAACATTACTTCCTTGCAAATGTCTGCTGAGGGTAGAGAGATAAGTAAATATTGCAATTCATTGCATGTAAGTCTTCCCTAGATATGACCAGGGAAGCAGAATCTATGCAGATATTGAGGAAATATTTTCAACCTAGCCACCTAGACACAGTTCTGCTGTCATGGTTACCAAACCAAACTATATTTGCAAATGTTTCTTAGGAGATTTAGGCCATGTCAGAACTTGTTTTTTTGTCCAACCTTAGTCCCAAAAGCCTGTTAAGAGATAGCCTATTACTTCCAGGCAATGACAGGCAATTACTTACTTTATTTTTGATTTCTTGGGCTTGCTGGACATTTCATTCTCACCACCAAAAAGTGACACATCTTCCGTCTCATCATTACTGTCCTGGAGAGATAAATACGGATTTTAAAAATGGGTGGTTTTTTATATTATACATATGAAATCCAACTATGCCACTGTGATAAAACTATGGGTGGTGAGGTTAAGGGGGAGCAAATGACAAAACAAGCATTGTGACACAAGCTCTATCCCCTTTGCACGTACATTGTGAGGTTGCATACACAGGCATAAAGAGCACCACTGTGACTCTCACAGTTGTTATTGTGGAGAAGAATAGGAAGCAGGAGTATTAGGCATGTCTGCCAGCTTGAGTTATATGTAAAAAAGGCAAGATAAAAATCTAATCATCATCATCATCCTGATGAAAATGCTGGATTCTGTGGATGCCTCTGGATAAAACTTAGAAAATTATATAGATATGAGGAATCCAGTATTTTGGTATAGTGATATATAATTTCACAGTTGGCAAAACTGTAAAATAATGGCAACAGAATTTAAATAATATTTTATTTTGATAATCAATAGCAAAAACTATATAGCAAATCTTGGATCTACTTCTTGTTTGGTTAATTAATATCACAAAAAAAGAATGCAACAAATTAAACTAAAATGGTATTTTCTTTTAATAAGAGTAGTTATTCTACATTGAACTAGAAAATATTTCACAGGCCCTTCAACAATAAAAAAAATATTTCTACAGCAGGTTTTCAGGAATATGTATATTCTTGAAATTGACAACAAGTAATGTTAAAAAGCAGATGGCTAACTAACTACACTGGCAACCATGTTTTAATTATTTATTACTTGAAGCCAAATTCCAATGATGCAGAGATTTGGGCTAGACTTTCACACTCAGTGAGATTATTTGTCTATCGAATCCACTGTTTAGTACTGATTAGTTAGCAATAGTCCTTCAGTGCAGCCTTTGTGCCTTACTTCTGTATGCTATCTTTCCCTTAAAAATCTTTTTAAAGTAATATGGGTGAGATCACATTTTTTGCTCTCACCATCACTGCAACCATTTATACACTTTCTTTACTTTGTATGAATTGGTAGCTAAAAAGTATGCATAACAATCATAGTCTTCTTTGTACTTAGGTGGAATAAGCATTAACTGAACATGTTTATGAATTTACTGTAAACATTACCATGGTTTCCAGACAGTATCATTGGTAAGATTAGGGGCAAAAAATAAACTCTGGATATTGGATTCATTCTCCATTTCTTAGCCTTAGTCAATCAATCAATATAATTATTTCAGTCAAAGACCAGCAGAAAGAACAGAAGTCATCAAACAACAGCACCACTAAGAAAACATCTTAAGTCTTGATGACTTTCTATGTATGGGTATATAGTATTCTAACATACCATTATTAATACTAAGCTAAAAAGACCTAAAACCTGAGCTAAGAATAACCTAAAATTAAGAGTAAAATCCTGGTGTTGTTAGAAGCTTATATCCCTAACCAAAACCAAATGGAAGGAGTCTGAAAACATTATTCCCTACTGATATCACTAAAACCCTACATTTAGAGCTGTTAGATATAGTTAAAAAGGTAACAATACTTGTATCCCTTCACTGGACATCTCTATTTTTTTCTGGGTATCTCTAGCCTTAATCAGCACCCCAAAACAATTCCAGAAGTTGGCCTTAATTCCCATAATCCCTAGCAACATGAGGAAATGTGTAGCTGGCTGCCTTCTGTATTTGTGGTTACTGGTTAAGTGTTGGAATAACAGCAAGGTGCCACACCACCTCTCTGGTGTCTTTAGGCCAGTTACTCTCTTTCAGCCCAACCTACCCCACAGGATGGTTGTTGCAGGGAAAATTAGGAAGGAATACTACATTCATTGCCTTGAGCTCTTGAATGAAGGCAGGGTATAACTGAAATAATATTAAGGCCATTTCCTCACTAGTGAGTTATAAACATTCTAGTGCCACCCAGCCAATTTTGTGGGGAGATAAACTCATACTCATTACTGATCTTTAAGGATGATGATTGTGGGATGACTCTAGAAGACATGATAAATCACTAGTGGGGAATATGCCCAGTTGCATTACTGCTAAATGAAACTACTCTAAGTTCTTTGTAATTTATACCAATTCATAAGCATGTAATACTGCAACCATCCTGTGGTTTATGCACTACCTTGCTTATGGACACTCATATGAGCTAAAGATGAAGATGACCATTAGGCGGCAGCAATGGTTAGAGTTTTCTGCATGTCTTTGCTGCTGCCTAGCCGACATCAGATTCTTGCAGCCCATTAGTCCTAGTCTTAATAATTTGATAGAGTTTATCAGAGGATTTTACTTCGACATCACACAGTTCCATTCCAATTATACCCACCTTTTAATCGCTTGGGAGTCTTAGAAGCGCAACTCCCCCACCCCCCAAATTAAAAGCTATATAGCAGAACATTTAACAGTTGGGGAGAGAGAGAGAGAGAAAGAAAGGCCTTGCGGGCATAACCCAGACACCCCGTAAGGTTTATATATAGGAGAGGGAAGGAAGATGGGGACGATAACCCAGATGACCTTCCCCTCTTCGCACAAAGCAGTTACAACTTGTGTAGCCTGGGATGGGCTTCATCTTGATCTGCTCCTTTCCCCCAACAACGACCTCAGCTGCGAAGTCCGCCACCAGTTCCTCTTCCAGCTCACCCCCATCTCCAATACTAAAAAGTCCCTTCAGCCCCGATGTGGGAAACCCACTCAGCACCCCCAGCCCACGCTAGGAAATAACTGCCCCTTAACTCCCACCTGCCGCAACATCGCTTCCGCCTTCTGCCACGTCACAACTCACTCCCAGCAAAGCCGGTTACATCATCATTGTGCGACGGATGCCAGGTTATACGGTCGACGCTTCCGATTCTAATGGAAAGCCGCAAGCGTTGGCTGATAGATCTAGGAAACATATAGAAGAGAATATATGTAGCTCAGGGTTGCACTGTGGAGTCCTTGGGGTTCTCTGAGCTTCGTTGTTTTCTTGCAGCCGTTTTGTTACCCTGCTGGGTAACTGAAGATGTTAGTTAGCCGGGTAACGAAACGTCCGTAAGAAAACAACCAAGCGCAGAGAACCCCAAGGACTCCAGATCTAGGAAAATATAGAGCGCTCCATCTCAGTGTCCGATTGTAATATCTCCTCCCGAAATGAGATAGACGCTTCTCTAAAGCAGTGTTTCTCAACCTTGGCAATTTTAAGATGTCTGAATTCCAACTGTCAGAATTCCATGCTGGCTGGGGAATTCTGGAGGTTGAAATCCAGACATCTTAAAGTCGCTAAGACTGAGAAACACTGCTCTAGATTGACTCTCTGGGGAAAGTCAGGATTTCAACATGGATAAGATGGGGAAGCAGCACGTGGCACTCAAATGAAACATACTGTACTGCAATTAGTTGTAATGTCTTTTAGCCCTTAAACCTTAAGAATAGGACTGCCGGGGCAGAGTTTAGCTTTATCAGTAGATTATGTTAATTCAATGTTGTACAGAAGATGGGATGGTTTTGGTTAAACTCTCAGACTGTCTTAACATCATCTCCTGAACAACTAGTTCATAGAGATCAATAAGCTGAACAGGGAAGGGACACTACACAGGATCTTCTCAGCAGCAATTCACACACACACGGGCTTTTCCAGGGACACCCCCCTGCTTAAGGCCAGGCCAGGATCTTGGCTTCCAGTGTGTCATGCAGAACCAATGCCTATGCAGATGGAAGAGCAGTGCGAAGACTAAAGGCGCTTCCTTATTGAGTCTTTGCATCATTCTATAATCAGGGCTGCACCTGTGTCTCAGTCTGGCAGCTGAGCCCATTTATTTCTGAATTCATCCTAACATTGTATTTTTTAATTTTTTTGTGCCTTTGAGTCAGTCTTCACTCTTGGTGGCAACTGCCTGGACAAATGCCTGCAGTTTTGTTGGCAAGATTTTCAGAAGTGGTTTGCTCTTGCCTTCTCCCTAAACATTGTACTAAAGGTTATTTATTTCCATTTCTCTCTGAAGCTCTGCACAGTCTCTGAATGGGTCATTTTCCTACTGGCAACAATTTTTGATTTGCCCTATTTCAAACTAGACTTTCCCCCTTAACTCCAGATGTATAGGATTTGTAGCACCATGCCAAGACACAATTTCATCTGTATTTTAAATATAATCAAGGATACAGCCTTGGAAGCTTTGCAGCTCTCCCTTATAGTATTTTTTTTTTTTTAATTTGCTGCAAAGCATCCAATGAAAGCACAGAACATGCTTTAAGAATGTGGGAGGGGAGCCCTGATTAAATCAGCTGAGCTATATTTAGAGTGCTGCAGGGAGGGCCAGTTGAACCTTCAAGGACATTCTGGCAGAATTACTACAGTGTACATTGCAAAGGATCCCTTCAAACCTGGAATTGTTTGAACAGCTGCCAAATAAATTATTTGGTATCTAAATAATTATTTGGTATCTAAATTCGAAATATAAATAAAATAAATAAATAAATAAGAATAGCTGTAGCATATTAATGGCAAAGCACTGAATATTACTGAACAGTACTTCAGGATTGTAACCACTGTAACCCTTATCCATTGCTGAATGGGAATACTATAAAGTTACTGAAGTCCTGTTCCAGTTTTATTCTGCTTTATTAATTTGCATTTCAGTTCTCTTCTAAGTCACTCTTAGTTATATCCCCTTCTAGCTCCAATATAGGGATATAACAGTCTATCTTAAAAGTCTTTTTGTGAAATAACCTTGCTCCATATTTGTAGCTCCCAACCATTATCTTCTCTGGGTAGAAAAGCTGAGAAATGGATGTCTCTCTTTCTATGAAAGAAGATCTGAGTACTCACGCAAAATAAAAACAATCATTTTGTAATAACAATAGTGAATATTAAATACCTGAGCTGTTGATTTTTTTTCCTACATAAATTGTGTGACCATACTTGTTGCTCTAAGGAAGTATATGGAAGAGAAGGACACAACCCATGTGCTACAACAACCTAATGGCAAAATAAAAGTTATTTTCATTTATAGGACATCCCACTATGATACCTATAGATCAGTGTTTCTCAGCCTTAGCAACTTTAAGATGTGTGGTCTTCAACTCTCAGAATTCCCCAGCCAGAATGCTGAAATCCACACATCTTAAAGTTCTAAGGTTAAGAAACACTGCTATAGGTGATAATTTTTTTGTGTGTGCTACCCATTGCCTACTCATGAAACATGACAAAATAAGCTTGCCTTTAAATATTTACTAATAATAATTATATGGTTCAAAACACAATATAATTTTTCCTATTATATTTTTCTGTCCATGGCTGCTCTGAAATAATTTGCTTCATTCTTCCAAAATACATGATTTTAAAATTATTCTTAAGCATGATTTGAAGGGAAAAATCTCTGGACTGGAATTGTTATTTGAGCTTATTTCCAAAGCTTTGAGGAATGTAGCCAAATTAAACTGCATGTGAGGAACAGAAACAGAGGCTAGAAAGATAATTGACCGCATGCATTTAAGCTGTGATTCAACCTCTTTCCTGGCAAGAGACTCAGCGTTACTCTATCTGGGGCCACATGCTGATAGTATGGTGAAATTCATTTAATTTCCATCTTGCCTTTCCTATAGAAGTTCAAAGTTGTATACATAGTATTTGTTCCTCCCATTGCCCCCCCCCCCCCCCCCCCCCC